CTTTAATAATCTGATAATGAATCGGCTCTTTCTCGTTTGCTTTACTATTGTGACGCCTTCTATCGCGCAACAGAACCTGCTGGAAAGAGCATTTCGGCCTACTTGCTTATCACCAACAAGCAAAACCCGACTTAAATACAGCAACCACTTGAAAATATGTTTTCACCCTTCAAGTGAAATTAAATCAAGGTCAATGAAAAAAAAAACAGAATATATTGATGAGTCGGAAGCTCTAGTCCTTTTTCGCACTGCAATTGGGCTGTTCTGTCGTGAAATGCAAATGAAGCAAGGGCTTGACCTTTTTCGAGGGTCTGGCATTGGGAGGGGGCAGTTAGTCAAGAGGCTCAGGCCTCGGCCCCATTGAAACATTTAGTGAGCAGCTTCTACTTTTATCTATGGCTTTTAACATATTTCTCAAGACCCCTTTTTCTCATGATACTTTCTTACCTACGAAAACAAAAGGATTTCCATGGATTTCCAGATAAAACAATAGGATTTTGACCAAAGGAGTACACAATTTTCATGGAGTGATTTGCCCATCGACCTATAGCAGAGACAAAGGCTAAAGATGCCACAACACAGTAGCTAGATAAGAAAGCCATTTCTGATGTTATCAAACCGTGTAATCGAATCAACGTCTCTGCAAAACCGAGAGCAAGTAACCGCCACTATGTTTCATCTTAGAAATGACGATGAAAACATTAGAGTTTTGGGGGAGTTATTTGAATATTTCTCAATATGAATATAATTGTTGAATACCAAATATAGTCAACAATACCATATCCTTCCATTTATTCACTGAACATTGTTGAGAGTACCAAGCAAAGCAATTTTCAGTGCCCCCTGACGGAGAGCTCAAAAATAGGAGAAAGCCATAAATTCACTAAAAAAGTCAAACATTCACGTTGAAGCCCAGCATTTTAGCATCGACCTGGGCAAATCAGAACAGCTGAAATATGGCAGGTGTCACAATGATAGAAAATAAATATCTTTGCTTCACGCAAGTGTATCGAAAAGAGAAGTCATAGAAACTTGTCTCAGCCGTAAACAATGAGCACATGTAAGGGGGACTTTAAAGGCGCATTATTGGGGCATTTGGATTGAAAATATTGAAGAATAGAGTTAGGGGATCACCAGGGCCAACCATCCAACATTTCAACAAAAAAAACTCTTACAAGTTCGATCTAAAAAAATTTCAAAAAACCTCTCCTACAATGCGTTTTCTTCATTTTTTTAACGGACCCCCTTCATTTTTTACAATGCTTCATCATTTGAACGGTAATTTGGCATGATGTTTACCAAAAATAACCACAGACGAATAAGAAATCATCAGTTGAAAGGACAACTGATTGATGGGCATGATCAACTGATTGAAGGGTGTGATCAATTGCTTAATGGGAGTGATTGGATGATATATAGGCGTGATCAGATGATCTGTGGTCGTGATCAATTGATTCTTGGGCGTGATCAATTGACTTATGGGCGTGATCACTTGATTGATGGGTGCGATCAGATGATTTTTGGGCGTGATAAAGGTGTATTCCACATCCCTTGTCCCAAAGTCTGTCAAGACAACAACTTCGCCGGTTATAAGCCAAGGAGCAGGGATTAGCGTTATGAGAAGACACCAGAGTTGTAATACCACTTTATCTTGCAATCAAATGCAGGTGAAAATCACAAACAAACATCTTGAATGATTGAACACCAAGGCCAACAAGATTGCCGGCTACTGCTGACAACAAACAGATCTTTTGAGAGCAATGCTTCTTATCAAATCAAGTTACATTAGTAGGAGAGAGCACGAGAAAGCCTAACAACGGGCATGGATTCCTATGAAACTAAGATCAGTCTAAAATCCAGATTCCTGTTATACCACAGTGATAACTTTTCGTCGAAGAAACTTTTCGTATGTTTATAAGAAGATGCACCTCTATCAAACCACGCAGTAAATAGTTTTGAGCGAGACGAATTCCATGAAATCATATTTCAAAATTACCTGCAGTCAACTAAAACAACTTCGAAACATATCACGGTTGTTAGTCCTTCAATATATTGTTACTCCCAACCACAGCGACCAAAATCATATTTAAAACTTTCTTTTCACGACCTTTATACTCCTGTCATTGATACTTAAGATGATGTGGCTTTATTTTTTGGATGGCTATTAGCTTACATCAATAGGACAGAAAATTTGATTACCAAAGCCCGCCCATCTGTAGACCAAATTCATTAAACAACATGATACCTCAAAAAAACGAAATTCATTTTTCCGGACATGTGAGATAAAAATGAATGCCATATCAAGAAACAGTTTTTTCTTTCAAAGACCAAAGAACCTTACACATGTTAAGGTTCCTACAGCTCTGAATGTGCTGGCTGTTCGGTTGAATTTCCCACATTAGATGAAATATGCAACGTAGGCCTGCTGAGCAAAAAATCAAGTATTGTTTTAGATACAACAATCCAGCTGATCCTGGGTTTCAACTACATCCAGGAAATCATTAACATAACCAACAATGTAAAATGCTGTGGCACAAATCTTTTGCTTTCTTTCTACTTTTGATCCACTTAATAATCTCCTTATCACAAAACTGTAAAAGGTGAGTTATTCCAAGACAATCTTTGGCATAAATTCAAATGCGAATTTCGGAAACTGTGAAAATTCCTTTGAAGCATTTTTGAACTGTCTTGTAATGGATAGAATACCAAAACAATAAATAAAAATGTGGAAAACTTAAAATTGGGACTGGGGTATGTTAACAAATAAAACCTTAATCTGAAGCCAGGAGGTATCACGTTTTTCGAAATGATGTTGCTGAGGTGGTTATGATGCAGACATCCAACAGAATAGAAGAAATGGAAGAAAGGACCTGTGAGAGCAAAATTGAAGGGTGGATCTGGGTTATGAGTACATCCCAGCATTCCCTGCTAGTCTGCCACTGCTACAAATGAAACCAACATCAAACTATGCTATCAATGAATGTTTTGGGTCAAAATATGGATTATCAGATGAATGAAGAATATGATATAACTGATTATAAGGGTCCAAGGACTAGTCACAATAACACTAGCCAAGCTAGATCACTGGCATATTCAGGGCGCCTCTTTTGATAATGAAAAACATCCCAAAACCAACCAGATAATAAAAAACGTTCTTTATAGGATTTATTGCCAACTAACAAAGCTTGAGAAACAACAAGATAAGATTCACCTGCCTACAAAATACAGCAAATAGGTGCTATATGGAAGTTTAAATGTCTAGTGGCTAGCAAAAAGATCTTTATGATGAAAATGATAAAATAATTCATAAAAAGGGCTGGATTTTTATCTGTGAAAATCCTTACTCTACCCTCATCATACATTTAACTACTGCTTGTACAACAAAAAGGCTCTCCAGAGCTTGAATTTGAATAAAATCGAAATAAATATGCAGTGAGCCTGCTACAGAAGTCACAAACAGGGGCGTTGCCAAAAGGGGAGGTTTGGAGGGGTGCTGTACCCACCCCAACACTGTGGCATGGCAATTGAAGGATTTTTGCCAGGCAAAAGAAGTAATTTTTGTACTCTTCCTGTAACCTTTTTGCAACAATTGCAATGTATAAACATTTCTGTATTAGTTAACTTTCAAATTATCACTTTCAATTGCAATGTATAAACTTTCAAATTATGGCACTAAAGTATGAAATTTGAAACAAAATGCATAAAACAGCATAAAAGAGTAAGCATCTTTTGATAACACCCTCTAAAGAGTGTGACACACTCCTTTTGTCAGTGAAAATTCATCCTTTACCCCTCCAAAATATTTTTTGGCTTCACCCCTGGTTACAAATTGTCTAGAGTACCATCAGCATGGCCATTCACGCACAAAATTGAACTAAACTCAGCTAGAGACCTTGCTGGAAGTGCATGGAACACACACCAACTTCATCACTATCATAGAATGTCAGCATGGCAAATCAAAATAGCAAACATGACACCATTTTAAAACATCAGGTATGAATATCTCAGCCAGGTGAGAAGATTTTCACCCTAAATATACTCGTGTAGCAGTTGAGAACATTTTCAGTGACAATACTGGAGTTACCAAAAAAGGGAGCAATTTTGGTATACATGTAATAATATTTGGCACCTAGCCATATTTGGGAGATTAAATTGTTTCTAATAATAGTCTAAATCTTCTTACATGAAAAACTCCCTGTAAAAACACAAGACAGTAATTTACAGAAAACAGATATACCATAGTTTTATATACCATATCTGAATAGCAGAACAACCAACATGACAAACAAACTAGGTGGGGTTGAAGCAAAAAATATCGTAAATTATGGACTCTTTAAAGATTGGAGGATTTGTTCCAAGTAGAAGAAAAATTTAAATGAAAAAATCCATAAAGTAAATGTTTCCATTAATGCAATTATTCTTATAAACTAGAAAATTATCTGAACCTCATCTGACAGGTTTAAAATAAAAGGATGAGAAGAAATTTGCAGAAAGTTTCATAAAATATTTTCAATAGATAAAAAGTTCCCTCATCCTTCATTACAAACAGCTTGCTTCTTGTAATTCAGCATATCTTGCATCATTTTTCATGATGGAAGATTGACCTCCATAGAACAATTAAACTTCAACCACAAACATAGCATTCAGTATTTTCCTTGTTTTAACAAAAGATCCACAGTACCCAAAAGGCACAAAAGATTGGCAAACTGAGTCAAAAAACTTAATTCTATAACAATTAATGAAATTAGCCTTTTTACAAAACCATTCATGTTCTGAAGGAGGTTGATAATATTGGCTGTGAGTATTTTTCACATGCTGTGGTCATGCAGGTTAACATGGGTTATTACAAAGCTACAAATCTTAATTTGCATAGACCAAGAATGGGGATTGACAGACTGAAGGATTGTCACATGCAAATAATTTCTCACTGAAAAATTTCAGTTTGATTATTCTTGTAATCTAGCAGAAGAGGTGATTGTAAGCATTTAATTTTGGCTTACCTGTGTGCTGTCATCTCCACCACATCTTGCATTAATCTGTCCATACATTTTTCAGGACCACTTAGGCACCTTGTACTGCTCTGCATGAGTGCAATGTGATTGAACAGCAAAATATCTCGTGCATTTCCAACATATTCGAGCTTTTTGTATCGATCATCTCCCTCTAAATGAGCATATATCTCCTTCATTTCTGTCTCACTTGGCCTACGATTGGAGTCTAATTTCATAAACTTCGGTGCTGCCTCGAACAATAATTCTTGGAACTCTACCTTTGCAGCCAATGTTATTTCTTGTAGATATTTCTCAAATATTTCTTTTCTTTCATGTTCGTCGAGTCCTTTATATGATTCCTCGTTCGACAGCCACAAATATGCATCACTCCAACTCGTGCCTGGTCTAATTTTTGGCGTAAGTTCCAACAAATTCCGAAAATCAGATTTCATGCGAATTTTTTTGGCAGATTCGATTAGTTTTTTCACGTGCCTATCAAAACAAGCTCGCGACCTTTCAAGGTGTAAAATGTCAACAGGGATTCTCCGATCTGAATTATTTAGTATTTCCTCTCGATCATTCCAGTGAACATCGTTGGGTAAATAACGAAAACGTTTATCGAATAACTTGTGATTTTTTATTGCCTGTAAACATTGATCCCACTTCCAGTCGTAACTTTCAATCATTTGAAGTGTGGGGAGAAGTTCGTCGAAGGCCTCAGGAAGATCGACTAAATACTCGTTCAGCTTTTTGTCTTCGTAATGTTGTTTAATTTTCAACACTTGTTTCTTAAAAACTTTTTCAGCCTGTCGCGATCCCGCCAAATAGATATAACGATTAAAGTCTTCATTTTCTTGCTGGGAAGTTTTGAACTGATCCCAGGGTATCACAGACTCAAGATCAGTTATTGTGCTTTTGACCAAGCTTTGGTAACCATCAAATGCCTTGGCAAGAATCTCTTTATTTGTAAGAACCCCATCGCTATAATGAACAATTCTTGATCTAAACCTTCCTTTTGACTCGATCATTTGAGCAAGAATTGCGAATCCTAAATCAACATTTATATTTTCAAAAGCAGAAGTCTCGATCAATGGCACGGACAACTTTTTCGAGTGCACGAATTTATGAGCTTGTGATAGTAAGGTTTGATCAACTTCGTCACATTTTGTCGCGACCACAACAACTGGTTTTTTGGTTTTAGTGATACCGCTCAACGCTGATGACAACAAGTCTTCCTGAACCTGTACTTTTGTTGCTTGTTCAGAAATATTTCCACTTACATCATAGACACACAAAAAACCATCGACGGCAAATTTCCCATCCTTTTCAGGCATTCTTATTTGAGTGTAGTCGTTTTGAAGGGCAACTTGGTCTCTGCTTATATACATCAATTTTCCTGGTGAGGCCAGTTTTGTTATTGAACATCGCTTAAAATACGGTGGAAGCTGACCACCTCTGGTTAACGGAGTATAAGATGCATCATCGAAAAATTCTGTTTGTTCAACAA